GACGGCACATAACAACAACAACATGCTATTAATGCGATAACTTGATAGACTTTTTCATTTTACTTTAAATTCTTGAAATGCACAATCTTATTTGTAGTACATCAATTCTTTTAAACATTTGTTAAATTTAAGATTCTTTCATCTATGCTAATAATGAAAATATTTCTCCTTTTGTAGAATTCTTGGTGGTTTTCCTTTTACATCTTACTGACTGTAAAACACAGCATTTGATGCTTGGTGTGGGGTTTTTTTTCCCTTATTTTTTTAATTGATATTTTATTGTAAGTTTATAAAGAACTTTGATTTCCATACATTCATTGTTGCACATTTTCCTCCCTGCCCCACTCCCCCCACCCAGATGACTTTTGTCCTTTGGAAAAAAGGTTCTTTTATGTTATACAGTTCCCTCCGCCCCAAACCACTTTACTATGTAGCTCTTATGCTGGACTCTTGTCGTACCAATAATACCTAATCATATAATCCTTTTAGGCAGTTCTCTCCCTTGTCTGTTTCAATGCCATATACATTATTTATCCTCTCTTTTCTTAGTGTCCCACAAGCCCCTGTTAGTCCTGTTTTATAACAGTGGCATTATGCAGTATTTGTCTTTTTGTGACTGAGATATTTCATTCAGCATCGTGTCCTCCATGGGTTCAGGCTATGGACAAACACTTCACCAAAGAAGACATTCAGATGGCAAAGAAACACATGAAGAAATGGTCAAAATCCCTAGCACTAAGAGAGATGCAAATCAAAACAACTATGAGATATCAATCATCTCACCCCAGAAAGAATAGCAAAAATCAACAGAGCAGCAAACAACAAGTGCTGGAGAGGTTGTGGAGAAACTGGAAACCTTATTTACTCTTGGTAGAAGTGTAAAATGGTGCAATCACTATGGAAGGCAGTATGGCACTTTCTCAAAAAGTTGCAAACAGAAATACCATTTGACCCAGCACTTCCACTACTGGAAATATATCCTAAAGAAACCAGAACTGCCATGCAAGCAGATGTATGAACACCCATGTTTATTACAGCTTTGTTCACAATAGCAAGGAGTTGGAAACAACCTAAGTGCCCATCAACAAATCAATGGCTAGAGAAGCTGTGATATATTCATAGAATGGAATATTATGCAACACTGAAAAACAAAGAACTCATGAAATATTATTAAAAATAGTTGACCATGGAGCATTTGATGTTTTACTACAATATTTATGGTAATCCTTGTCATTCTCTTTGTTGTTGTTGTTGTTAAGTGCCGTTGAGTCGCAGGCGACTCATAGCGACCCTATGAAGGAGAGTCCTTGACGCTTGGGTGCCTTCATCCTCTCTCTAGGTTCATAGGGTTTCCAGAGGCAAGCTATTATGGAAGTGGATGCCACTCCTCTTTCCAAGCTTGTTTTAATCGGGGAGCTCCACCCCACTCTCTGTCTGCATTTGGGTAGCCAACCATTAACGTATTTGACACATCAGTGTCGCAGTTGTCATTCTCTCTACACTCTATATATTGTATTAGGCTCAGCTAACTGAACTATGTCACCTAAATGATCCCACCACTTAGGTAGACACTTCTCTGCTATGGTTCTCAACCAAGGGGCCACTTTAACTTCTCCTCTGGCTCCTTTATCCAGCAGCTCTTGTAACTCTTCCTTGTTCATGTAGGACACACTTTTTGCTTCACTCAGATCTGGATTCAGAGGAACATTCTTTTTAACAAGCAGAAGATAACAAATCTCATGTTCTCCCCAATTTGCATCTGATTTTGCTTTGTGATGATAAATTGTCATGAACAAAATATCTTCGATAGAAACCTATGGCAAAAATTGATGCAATATAAATGAAAATTGCTAATGTTGAAATATAGACTATAGAGACAAACATTGGTTTTCACTCAAAAGAGTTAATTACCCCAACCTTAACTTTCACTGAACTTGTACATTGAAGGCTGAGTCATAATCTGTTTTGATATTTGTGTCAATTTACCTGTGTGCTACTCCTTAAGGAACTGCCCCTTCCCTCTAAGAACTGGCAATCTTTGCCAAGAAAATGTCCAATTTCTCCCTCAACTATCTTCTTTTAATGAATAAAATTTTATAAATTAAGAACTTTCTATCATTTTAAGATTTCAGTATCTTATTTCTTCAATGTTTTCTTTACAAATCCTGATTCCTAAACATCTACCCAGAAGACATAGATAAGCCTCCTTTTAATAACAGCCCCTTTATGAGGCTGATAATAGAAATCCAGTGACTGAATTCTTCTTCAGCTTTCTCTGAATGCTGCCCACTCAATTCCTCAGTGTAGTCTGCAAAGGTGTGGGGTACCTGCCCAGGGGGAATCCCCAGCTCAGCCTGCATCCTTCTCAGGGCTGCTCTTTTGACTCCAATGGCATCTTGCTCTTCCAGTTCCAGTGGGGTGAATAAGGGGTGACTACAGCAAGAATCACTGTAATACCCTAGAGAGAATGAACAAAGTATGTGTCTCATACTGTAATTGTTGTAGACTGAATGTATTAAATAATAATACAGATCCTTAAGATAAAGGCAGGATCATCTGTAACATAGCCTGGATGAAGACCAAAAGCAAAGATTCATCTTGAGTGTCCTCTGAAACTTTTGACGCTGTGTCACTTTAATGGCCTGTGACAGTTTAAAATTCCTAAAAAAGATAGGATCTTACAACAACGTAACTCCATAATTGTATGTTGCTTATATAGGAAAATAAAGAATTCATTTTATGCTGAAAAAAAAAAGTATCTTTTGGGTGGTGCAAACTGTGAAAACTGTCAGCTCCTAACTTAAAGATTGGCGATTACAGTCCACATCAAAAAATCTCAGAAGGAAAGCATGCTCATCTTCTGAAAACATAGACATGAAATCCTCATGAAAGACAATTCTACTCTAATACAGGTGATAATTTCTTTTCCGATCAATATCCTGAGAAAATGAACATAATGGTTATGTCGCTGAGTTGTCAAGAATGGATTGCCTTTGCTGCTCATGTGATACTTACTGTTGATCCCATTGATTGAAAGTTAATTAATCAAATATATGTCTTGGAACTTTCCTTAAATAAATCTCGAGTTGACATACACCCTAAGAATCTGTTAAACACAGACTGATAGGAAGAAGTGTATCTATGTGTATGTAACTTTGAAGATGGTGTTCATAGAACAAAGTCATCTTTAGGAAAAGGATTTATCTTCTTTCATGAATACAGTTTTAAAGAAAAATGTAACATATAACAATTGTGTAAACATTTTCCTAATGAAGCATACTAATGACTCTACATAACTACTGGAAATACCATTTACGATGGAAGAGGAAGGGAACAGACTTGTCACTGAATGTCTTTTTAGCTTTTCTGTTTTCTGAGATATTCAACACTTCTTAGAGATGCAGAAGTTAAAAAAAAGATAAAAGAAAAAGAATTTTCATTGTCACAATCTCCTATCCAAAGGCTTCCTCTAATGTCAATGTGTTAAGCCAGGGGTGGTTTGGAAAAGTGTAGGACAGTCCACCCAAAACCAAACCAAAACAAAAAACTTGAGTTCATGTAAGTGCTTAAAAGACTGAATGGAGTCTGTTCATTAAAACAGACTCTTCCATCATGGCCTCACATCATGAAAACCTGTCTAACAAATGAAGGCTCAGTAAACAGAAGATGAATACTTCATGAAGTTGTTTCTAAAGATGAGAGGTTTAGAACTCCTGTATGATAAATGTTGACCTTTATACCCCTCTACATCTCTGTCTGGTAACTATCATGGTCTAGTCTGTAAGAAGTGGTATTAACCTGATGGGTGTAACTCTCTGGGAGTTCAAATCCAACAGGAATTCTATGGGAAGAGATGAAAGTGTGGGAGACTATAAGACCCTAAAACTGGGTAATCATTTTACCATTATACATTTTTATGCTAAATGCTATTTACTCTCACTGTCTAAATCCTTAGGTAAGACTTCTATGCACATAATTATCATCAGAAGTTTGATGGCTCAACTTGACCTATTAATGCTTCAGGAACAAAGACTTGTCATCTGAAAATTAAGCTCTTGAACTCTGGAGCATGGTTTTGTTCTGGCACAGATGGGATCACCCTAAATCTGAAATGACCGACTTACTGTTTTCTCTCTCTTTAAAGACATGTTCACACTTTCTCTCTCCTCAGAGATAACCAGATATTTTAATAAAATGAAAGCTGGGTGATGGCCCTAATTCCTGAGAATTTACTTCTCAGCTACGTTCTCAGAAAAGCTAGTCATGTCCAACAAACATGGTTTGTAAAATCCATCTAATTTGAATTGAAGGACCCACCTGGAAAAGTTACTTTCGTGTCTGCTCTCTGTTGAATCAAGACTTTATTCTCTTCATTGAATAAGAGAACACTGAAGGATCGGTGCAACAGTCCTGAAAAAGTAAATGCGGACTCTTGTCAACGCCTAAATATGGAATCGCTGAAGTCATTAATTTTTCTTCTAAGCTCAAGCTCAGTCTCTTTCACAGTTCAACACTACCAGCAGATGATCTAGTCATGGCTGCTTTTATAAGGAAGGGAATCACTGGATGCCCAAACTGGAATTTGTGGTTCTATGTAGGGAAATAACATGCCTGACCACTGAAAACTCAAGCTAAACAGATCTAAGATTATCTTTCTGAAACTTCTCCTAAAGATGACAATTAATAAGAACACTAGGTGATTGTTGTTGTAGTTGTTGTTGTTAAGTGTCTTCAAGTCATAGACAATTCATAGTGACCCTATGAACAAAAGACCTGAGCACTGTTCATAGAGTTTCAGGAGTCAAGCCATTTCGGAAGTAGATGCCACTCCTGCTTCCAAGCTTGTTTGAACAGGAAGCTCCACTAAACACTGTCCATCATGGGTAATCATTTTCGCATTTGGCACATGAGTGTCACAGAGTTTAGCATCACAGCAACCACGAGTTACCTCTGTACAGCAACGCACAGACCACCTCTGTACAGCAATGCATAGACCAGTGCAATAACACCTAGAAAAATGTTTGACAAAGAAACTACTAAAACCAGGCCTGAGGGCTGCAGATTCAATCACCCACCTTGGGCTTGGTACCATAACTTTCTATCAACTAGGCCAACGTAGCTCTCTCTATGTTGTCATTGTTATTGTTGTTAAGTGCTGTCAACACTCATAGCAACCCTATGAATGAAAGACTAGGTGATTGGATACCACAAATGTTTGTCTTTGTACCTGTCTACCTCTCTTTAAGAAAGATCTGGTGGCCTAGTCTGCCACTAGAGAATTGTGATGCTAACTCAAATGTGACACCTCTCTGGCACTCTGAACCCGCAACAGGAGAAAGACATGCAATCTCTCACGATTTACAGCCTCTAACTCCTGCTGAACAGTCGGCAATGAATTGGTTCCCATGAAAGGGCAATGTGAATGAACTATCACTGTCAATTTGAGTTAAAATGGCATAAAATACAGTCAAACTGTCCACTCTACCTTTGTCAATGTTTTCATTCAGATGGCAATTCCTCTTGTTATTTGCACCAATAACCTTATCATTTTCATCAACAACAACTAGCATTTCCTTTAAACGATGCCTCTGACACTCATCCAGCCAATCAATGTTTACTTCAGGCATCGCGGATCCTTGTGGTCCAACCTAAAACACATGCACCATTTGATCATTGTGAGAAGTAATTGTTGCCAAAATTGTTTAACATTTATTGCATCCTTTCATTAAGTAAAAAGCTTTTTTTAAAAAGGCAAGTATTGAATTGGTGCAGACGTGAGACATAGGAAGACACTGTTTCTAATTTAACATCTTCATGAATAGAAATCTTGAAGATGTTAAATTAGAAACAGTGTCTTCCTATGTCTCACGTCTGCACCATTGAGTGTATGTATTCCCATGGTCTCCCATAATTACTACTAGTAAGATGCAGACCAAATAGAAATATTCAGAAAACAGTAAAGAAAGGGTACTCATTTTGTTAGTGCTCTCTAGAGAACATTTATAGGGAAATCCTAGAGTTGGGGTGATTCATAATGATGGATCACAAGCTTTAAAGAAAATGACAGTTTTTTAAGACTTCTGCATCATCTTCCGTGGCAAACACTTCCTAATTCAATTAAGTGGGCTTTTGAAGACAGTACTGTTTAAATATGGATAATCCAGCATTTGCTAATTCGCCATTTCTAGGAAAATGTCTAGAACACCATCTGTTTTGGAGAAAAGTCCTTTTCCATCCTTCTCACCTTCAGTTGGCAGGAATTGGTGAACTCTATTATCACCATCATTGTAATCATACTTAAGACACGACATTTCTACGTTCTTCTAGCAATGATCTCTATCCAAGTTAGACTGGGCTTTATGTTACCAATGAACAATTAAAACAAAAAAAATGCCTTCTTTTTTGTCCTGTAATATTTGTTGGTGGTGGTGGTGTTGTATTTATTATTTTTATTTTTGTCATGGAAAAAAAGCCTTGGAAAAAAATCAATGTCTCAAAATTTGCACTCTAGCACTGCTGTTGGAAAATATGCTTCCTAATGGACATGATTTTGGATTCTAAATACAGTAAAATTTTCACAAATCTAAAACATGTGATGATAAATCTTAAGAGATAGAAAACTCCAAAACTGTAGAGAGAGAAATAAGCAAGGGTAGACCGTATCCTGAATGTCATGGCCTGAATTGTGTTCTCTCACAATATGCGTTTGCTTGACTTTGCCCTGATTCCCTGTGTGTGGACATAGGGATGTAGTGTGATAGTAATGTAATGATCTGATGAGCTAAGTGGTTGTAATGGAATTAACTGTGGACTTGTGGCACCTTTTACTTTACAAGAGATAAGAGTACAAGCTGAGAGATAAATAATCATGTAAAAAATAAAACAAGATTGCCCAGTAGAAGGAGTCAAGGATAGGAAGAGGGACGTTGGACTCCAGGTTACCATGCTGGAAAACTCTTTCACACAGGAAAGGACAAGTCATGGAGCTCTCCAAGGAATGCCAGGCACACAGATGTTGAAAGGAGACTAGCACTCCTCTCTAGAACTCAAAGAGAGGAGAAGCCTTCCCCTGAGTGAAGCACCCTGTACTCAGGTTCATATCCTCCTAATCTCTGGTAGCCTAGTGGCAAGAAGCTGCGCTGCAATCCTGAAGGCTCTCTGTTTGAGGCCACTGGCTGCTCTGTAGGAGAAGGATGGACAATCTCCTTCCATGTGATTAACTGCCTCTGAAAACCCACAAGAGGGTCAGCTATAGGTCAGTTCCAATTCTATGGTATACAACAACAACAATCAATGAAAGAAATAAACTTGTTAAAATCAATCACACATGTCTTTTATGTTGTAGCTATACTAGATAACTAACACATGGTCAGAGACAGAAACTTGTGAGAGCAGAAAAACAAGGCTGCATTGCTAACCCAAAGGCCTGTGGTTCAAATTCACCAGCTGCTCCAGGGGAGAAAAATGGACAATCTCCTCCCATGCATTTTACACCCTCTGAAAATCTGCTCTAGGGGAAGCTCTGAGTTAATTCCAACTCAACAACACATGAGAACAGCAGTAATAACGTATAAAGTTCATATAAATGATTCTGTCTATTCTGTCTGTTCTGATGTACAGTACTGAATGACGCCCAGTACTTCATTTATCTTTTTTAAAAATTCTCATTATTATTGAGAATTATCAATATAAAGGACTAATGGACCACAGGAACTTCTATCTCCATGACCTAGAAACAAGGAGAATTAGATTGTGCCAAGACACCGTTGATACTAAAGCTGAAAGGAATCATAGGAATTCCTGATTACTGTCAGGGAAACGTGTGAAATAAATCATCAAATTATGTTTGGTTTACCAAGGTCGATCTCTCAAATGCTTTTTTCAGCATACAGGTTAAATGGCTATTGAGAAAGGATATGATCCTAATGCCATGCTTTCTTAATTTTAAACTATCTAGTTATCACCTTGCACTGTTCACACAATAGCTTCCTGGTCTAGGCAAGGGTTTCACATTCCAACTAATAACTGGAGTATGGAATATACAAAGTACTGTTGCTGTTGTTGTTATGTGTCGTCAAGTCGCTTGCAACCCATAGCGGCCCTATGTACAACAGCCCTAAACTCTGCTCTGTCCTGTGCCAATCGCACTGTCTCCAATACACCCATCCTGATTACCCCAGTCACTGAATCAGTTGTAGTCTAACACAGTCTAAGTTGTAGATTCTAACACAGGCAGAGACCACCAGCAAGGTATATTTCAAGTCCTAGCCTTTATTGGGGTAGTCAGGTCTGAAGCCCACCTATCAAATCAATCCAACCCTAAAGCATTAGAGGCAATTCAAATCTTAAAAGCCCATTAAGCATTAATTCCCAACCTTGACTGGCATCTGGTGGCTTTGTGGTAAAGAGCTGCCCTGCCAACCCAAAGGTATGTACTTCTAATCCAAAAGCTGCTCCCAGGGAAAGATTTGAACAATCACCTCCCATATGATTAACTGCCTCAGAAAACCCACTGCAGAGTCAGCTATGGGTTAGTTCCCACTTGGTGTTACTCAACACCAACAATATACCTAGCATCAACTTTAATCATGGCCACTGTTTAATGAAAGCAGAGTGCTCACCACAGCCAGACAAGTTGACACGAAGCTTCAAGCAGGACTCAGACGCCTCTGGTTTATAGCTTGAGACACTCTCATTGAAATACCGTTATTCCTGATTAGTCAAAAAATGATGCAACGTATCAAAGTCTTTCAAAGTTACCTGTAGTAAGCAACTCTGAAGTGTAACCAAACAGTTGAGACTTGCCATCTTAGATTAGCACTTGGAGTTTTGCAGCTTCTCTTTCCCATAAGCGTGTTTTGACTTTTGGCCTAATCTATCTGATACACAAGCCAAGTTACATCTGACACCCACACTGATATCGCTAGTGCCATGGCCTCATTTTAAGCCAACTGGAACCTCTGGCAGTTCTCTGTCAATGTGTTCTTTAAGCTGTTTTTAGATCATTTTCAGCAAGATTTTGCTACCATGTGACATTAAAGATACTGTTTCATAATTTCCACATTCATGCCTCCTCTAAAGTCCAGCTCTTCTGCACCCCATCTCTAAATCTCAGAGCTTTCATGTCCATTATGGAAGGTCAAGCCTCCACCTCAATGAAGAAAGACCTTCATGTCACTGTGCACATGTCACACCAAACCCACTGCTGTCCAGTCTCTTAGGGTCAGAAAGAACAAAAGGAACACCGAGAGGAGGGTCTAAGGAAACAATAGGAAGCAGAACTAGTGCCAGCAACAACTGTTGCAGCTCTAGTCAAACCTCCCCTCCCCACGCCATCATTCTGTGTTTATACTTGTGAGCACCAAACATTGAGCAAACCCATGCCATGACCTTAGATAACATCCAAGATCATTAGAGAAGAAGGAGTTCTCTCTCACCACCAATCAGAAAAATTCACTAATTGGAAAAGTAGGACACTGAAGTGTAGAGAGCAGATTCCATGATTATTGGAGCTCTGCCCTACATCCATGATCCTTCTCGCTCACACAAGGGGACATGCTGTCGGCCTCTTGGTGTGCTCTGCTTGCCTCTGTGTATTCCTTCTTTCTTTCATTAACAAACCTGAGAGTAGTCTCTTTTTCAGTAATCTCTTTTTTTTCTGTAACAACCTTCTCTACAAGAAACTTGCTAGTCTTTATGGAAATGTTGGACTGCATGTCTCTCCTATGCTGGTAGCAGAGCTTAACACAGTCCATTCTGACCCAAAGCTTGGAGAACAGCTGGTGTATTCCAACAGCTTATCTTTAGGTTAGCAGCCCAATACCTATGCCACCAGAGCTGCTCGATGGTTTCCATGCATGAACTTCAAGAAATGCAGGACTGTGAGATGGCACAGGAAACACCCCATGGCATGTTCCCTACACATATGCCTCTACTTTACTCAACAAATGACACACTGACTCGTGCAGTTGTGTCAGAAGCAACTCATTGATGACCCTCTGGTGGATTTTTAGAGGCTGTAAATCACATGATAGGAGATTGCCCATCTTTTCCCCGTGGAGCCACTGGTGGAGACAAACAACCATGTGTCAGGTCTAAAAAGAGGCCTGGAGTCAGAGACATATAGACCCCTGCAGCCAGATCTCTCTTTACTGAAAAATACAAAGTGCTTAGCTGTGTCAGTCTCTCTGAGAGTGTCAACTCTATGGTTCTCACCAATAAGAGCTCCCTTCCACAACTCTTTAGTAGCAATCCTGCCCTAAACAAAAAATATTCCTTGAAATTATTCTTTTTTAAATATTACACTGGTTTGCAGATAAAGTTCATTTTTTCCTTGGGTTTTTTTAAAATTTATTATTAATTTCAGTGAAAATTTACAGAGACTTTGGATTTCCATTTATTCATTGTTACACTTTTCTCCCCTCCCAACCAAATTTTTCATTCGTATTGTGTTTCATAACATCATTCCCATTCATTATGTTTTATAAAATCAATCACCATTAAACCAGGTCCATCCTTACCCTTTCTTTCCAGATCCCCTCTGGATCTTTCCCATTTCCTTTACCCTCTCCCTGCACCGACCAAATTGTATGATCCTATAATTTACCCCCATCCAACTTTACCCCTC